ATTGATGATGATATGATGATGATGATGATGATGATGATGATGATGATGATGATGATGATGATGATGATGAGGATGATGATGATGATGAAGATGATGATGATGATGGAGTGATGATGATGGATGATGATGGATGAGGAGGAGGAGGAGGAGAGGAGGAGGAGGAGGAGGGAGGATGCGGGGCTGGAGGCGCCGCGAGGGGCTGTGGGCCCGGCGTCGACCCAGGGGAAGTCGCGCAGCTGCGGCGCGCGAGCGCGAGGTGGCAGCTGCGCTCGGGAGTTCACGTCTGCGCAGCTGCAGCTGGCGCGAGGGTTCAGCACAACCTCACACGCCGGTCGTCGAAAGTAGGTATTTTTGGATTCTCAGAGGAGGGAAAGGTACACGCCGGTCGCTGGAAGGTATTTTTGGATCCCCAGATCCCAGTCTACTTCGAGCGCCTTCCTGCTTCGAGAGCCGAGACGCTTCTGTTGCTGTTGTTTTTGTTGTTCTCTGGGAGGGGCTGAGTCCAATCTGCTTTATCCACCTTCCTACTTCATGTTCTTACCCACTTCTTCCGACGGACGTTCAAGGGAGGGAAAACCACCCAGACCCGATAATTGGCGTTTACCAAACGGCCCTGGGCGTTTACTCAACAGCCCTGCCCTGTTCGATTCCTTCTGTAGGTGCGTTTACCAAACGGCTTCGCGTGTCGGCGTGATTGTTATGGGAGTGGATTGTCTGCCCTCTAGACGTGTAGCTTTGGAGGGGCACCCTTCAGTTTATCGGGCTTGGGTCATGATGTTCCAACCAACTTTAGCTTGAACCACCAGCAAGAATTTCGGGCACCAAGAACTTACTGAAACTGAACGGTTTTCACGTGTCGGTCTCTGGGAGGCGATACTCGTTTGACACTGTCTCTGTATCTCTCGGGGTGCTCGAAGTTCTTCTTGGGATCTGGTCCTCAAGTACGATGGGAGCAACGTGATGCTTTCAGGAGGGAAAAAAAACACAGACACAATTAATCGTCGATTCCCCAGATACGGGAAAATATGGGAAGTGGGGGGAAGACAGAAACCCAGAAAATATAGGAACATATGGGGAATCTTTTTACTTGTGTGTATTTGTTTGTGCGGCCTGGGGCCCCTTCATGCTTGGGCTTTGAAGAGCCTCGGCCGCTCCTTCCCTCCCGGGCAGAGCCGTGGAGCCTCACGGGCCTTGTCCGAGTGGGCTCGCGACCCTGACCCCGCGCTCTCGTGGCCATGCCTCTCGGGAGGGGAAGGACACCCACACAGACGCAATCCATCGTCGATTCCCCAGGAAGATCTGGGAAACCATGGGAAGTGGAGGGGAAGAAGACGACGATTTTCAAGATGTGATAAGATAGAGGGGGAATCCTGGGATTTGTGTCTGCTTCGTTGTGTGTCTCAGGGCCCCCCCAGTCCTGATCTTGCCCCGCGCTCTCGTGGCCGCCTTTCCGCGACACCCGCCGACCTGTCTTGTTCCTTCCGCGGCCCCAGAGGTCCCGACCGCTTCCCCGGGGGCAGCTCCTCGTCCTGGCTTCGCTCTTGGATGGCCCCGGGGGCCGACCACGGGCCCCGAGAACCGAAGTCGAGGGAAAGCGTTTCGCTTTCGGGTCACACCGACCCGGGTCTCCCGCGTCCGTTCGGGACGACCGCTGCACCCCCGGAGCGCTCTCGGCGAGGCGCAGCTGCTGGGAGGCATCCTTTGGCCGGAAGACCGCCGAGAACCCACGGGAACCTCCGAAAACTGGGAGCATCTCGAAAAAGAAAAAACGCATGAAATACAAATTTTTGGCGCTCCGCGCAGATCTGGCCCCCCCCCGGCGGCGCCTCAAGCGCCGCCCCTGGCGCGCCCCGCGCGCCAGGGAGGGGGGTCCGGCGCAGATCCAAGAGATCTGCGCGGAGCGCCAAAAGCTTGTGTCCTTTGCGTTTGCTTCTTCTTCTTCTTCTACTCCTTCTTCTTCTTCTTCTACTCCTTCCTCTTCTACTCCTAGGAAAAGTGGGGGGAGCCCGGCGAGCACTTCGAGTTCGCGGGCAGCCTCTTGCTGTCGTTCCTGCTGCACGCGGAGGGCATCTCCTTCGAGCGCCTCGACCTCGAGGGTGGCGCCCTGCGGCTGCGCTCCACGGGTAAGGGGCCGACGACCTTGTGCCCCTCCCTGGAGTGGAGCATACGCGGCGAGCAGCGGCGGGTCGTCGAAGAAGAAAAATAGCAATGACAATTTGGAAACAGAAATAGGAGTAATAATGGGACGCGCAATTATGAGACAATGGTAATACGAATGATATAACAGCACAGTGATTATTTCGTCGGCTACTACTACTACTACTATTACTACTAATGCTAGTACTACTACTACTACTACTACTACTGCTACTGCTACTGCTATTGCTACTGCTACTGCTACTACTACTACTACTACCACTACTACTACTACTACTCCTACTACTACTACTACTACGACTACTACTACTACTACTACTACTACTACTACTACTACTACTACTACTACTATACTACTATACTACTACTACTACTGCTGCTGCTGCTGCTGCGACTACTACTACTACTACTGCTACCACTGTTACTACTACTTTTATTACTACGACGACTATTACTACTATTGCTACTAGTACTGCAACTACTACTACTACTGCTACTGCTACTGCTACTGTTGCTACTACGACTACTACTAATAATAATGCTGCTGCTACCGCTACTAATACTTGTCTACTACTACTACTACCACTACTACTACTACTACTACTACTACTACTACTACTACTCGTACTAAGACGACTACTACTACTACTACCACCACTATTACTACTACTACTACTACTACTACTACTACTTCTACTACTACTACTACTACTACTACTACAGTTTTACTACTACTACTACTACTACTACTACTACCGCCATTACTACTACAAAAACAACAACAACACCTACTACTACTACTATTTCTACTACTACTACTACTTTATCTACTACTACTACTACTACTACTACTACTACTACTACTACTACTACTACTACTACTACTACTACTACTACTACTACTACTACTACTACTACTACTACTACTACTACTACTACTACTACTACTACTACTACTACTACTACTACTACTACTACTACTACTACTACTACTACTACTACTACTACTAACTACTACTACTACTACTACTACTGCTGCTACTACTACTACTGCTTCTACTTCTACTTCTACTACTACTACTACTATTATTATTTTTACGACTACTACTACTACTACTACTATTACTACAACTACTGCTACTACCAAGCATAATGCGAGTACTATTGAGCATCGTAGCATATAAGCAGTGTTCTGCTCATACCCATAAAAAGACCCGTCTGAATAAGACGTACCATACCATGAATCACTACGAATGTAGTCATAGTACGAAGAACACAAGCGTGATAAAGGAGAAGCGGCGCAAACATGAAGGTCTGCGCGGATTTCTCGGATCGGCGCTGGAGCCTCCTGGCGGCGCCTTCGGCGTCCCCCTTGCTCCGCGCGCCAGGGAGGGGGGTCCAGGGCCGATCCAAGAGACCCGCGCAGACCTCTGAAAGTTTTGCCGTTTTGAGGTTCTTCTAGGTCGACGACGACACCCGCATGAAGCGGCAGACCTGGTACACCTTCCGCTCGGTGGTGGTGCTTCGGGGCATAACGTCCGATGCAGTGCTAGGGGGCTGTCTGGGGATCGGTTCCCCTCCTCCCTCTCCTCCTCGAAGATTGAACACAGCTCGGCAAAGAACTCCATCCGATGAGATCTTGAGATGCTGTCGACTTGAGATCTTGTGTTGCCGCCCCATCTGATCGGCGTCATTGGCCGTGGGTGTCAGCTGTCCTCCCCTTATCCCTCCCCCTCCCCCTCTTCTTCCCCGTCCTCCTCCTCCTGCTCCCCCTCCTCCTCCTCCTCCTCCTCCTCCTCCTCCTCTGGTACCTCGATCCTTCGCCGCCTCCTTATCCCTCCTCCTCTTTGTACGCTGGCCAGACTTGGAGCGTGTCTCGTGGCCCCGCCGGCCCTCCTGCTGCTCCTCCTTCTGCGGGGGCTTTGGGAGGCTGGCTGGCCGAGGGCGCGCTGGACCGCCCTCCGCCCGCCCGGGCCGTCTCTTCGGCAGCCGCGCCGGGGATCAAGTCGGGCACGTCCCTTTACAGGAGGAATATTCGAAAATAGTCAAAAATGGGATGGGGACGATTTTTTATTTTTTATGTGTATATATATATATATATAACATTTTTGACCATTTTTGAGCATGTCTTGAACATGTTTCATTTCTCGTCCAAGATCCGCCAGGTCCGCCTGCAGGGGGACATGCCCGACCAGAGCCTGGGACCAGTAAGCATGTCGCCGGCGGCGCCTCGCCTGGAGCGGGCCGGGGGGGGCCGGAGCGTCCCGAACGGCCGCTGGGGGCCCGAGGTGCGGGCCGAAGACCACCATGCGCCGAAGAGGGGGGTGGTGACCAGGGCGTGTGTGTGTGTGTGTGTGTGTGTGTGTGTGAGTGTGTGTGTGTGTGTGTGTGTGTGTGCGTGCGTGCGTGTGCGTGCGTGCGTACGTGCGTGCGTGTGTGTGTGTGTGGGTGTGTGTGTGTGTGTGGGGGTGTGTGGGTGGGTGGGTCCCTGAGCTGCCTCCTCTTCCCCTCCCCAGCGGCCGCCTTGCCTCCCCGTTTTCCCCTCGTGCACGCTGGCCAATTCGCCTTACGGCACCCCCGTCTGGCTCCTCGCTGGTGCAGCCAACCCTGCCTCGCCGCCGACGGCAGCACTGTGGGTGGCTGTCGTGGCCGGGGCCGTGAGATCTCCCCAGATCTCACGGCCTCCTCCTTCTCCTTTCAGTGAGCCCCCGGTCCCCCCCTCGCTCGCACACACGAGCCTCGGGCCACGACCTGCGCCCCCCCTCTGGGATGCCCCCGGCTGTCTCGAGCCGTCTCGCGGGCGTGCCGGGAGATTGGGCAATTACGCGCGTGACGGACCGCAGCCGGCCCGAGAAACGGGGGGGAGGAGGAGGAGGAGGAGGAGGAGGGGGAGGAGGAGGAGGAGGAAGAGGAGATGGAGGAGGAGGAGAGGAGGAGAGGAGGAGGAGGAGGAGGAGGTAGGAGGAGGGGAGGAGGAGGAGGAGGAGGAGGGAGGAGGAGGGGGAGGAGAGGAGGGAGGAGGAGGAGGAGGGGGAGGAGGAGGTGAGGAGGAGGGAGGAGAGGAGGAGGAGGGAGGAGGAGGAGGAGGAGGAGGAGGAGGGAGAGAAACGGTCAAGAGCGACGCCGATGTCCTTCCCTCGCTTTCGTTTCTCTCGGGTTCGCCGCGGAATGCTGGCAGGAGAGGTCCGCGGCCCCCTGAAGCCGCGCACCACAGTTTTTTGTCTTGCATGGGGTCGCTCCTGCGTGCAGTCGAGCTTCCCTGTCTTCCGCCAATGATTTTCAATCCGCGGCCTCACAGGTCCCAACATCTTCCCCAGTAGTTTATATATATATAGTTTATATATATATTATATATATATATATATAATTTTTTTTTTTTTTTGGGGGGGGGGGGAACATAAAAATCCATTTTTGGTGATCCTGGGCCTGATGATGGGCCCCCTCGGTCGAAATCTGGGAGAGACGCCGCGTTTGAAAGCACCGTGACAGCAGTAAGGGAACAGGCCGGTGGAGAAGTAGGAGGTCGGCGATGGAAAACGTGCATTCCGAGGTATTGCTATGGATTTTAAGGGAATGCACGAAATGCGGTAGGGTGTTCACTTTTGCATCGGAAGCGTACGCGGGAGTGGAGCAGAGCTTGAAGTGTGGGAGGTTGTGATCTTTTGCGTAAGAGTCGTACGCCAGAGTGTAGACCTGGCAACACGAAGAGCAGAAAGAACACGGAGACCACGGCCATGTGCACCCACATTTTTTTTATTTATCAAGTGGTCACGGTCGCCTGGCCCAAAAATGTAGTAATGGAGGCGAAAACACGACTCCTGAATAATCTGAGGAATTCTAAGGCGAAGCTGCCGCCGGACCGCTGCCAGGCTGGGCGGTCTCGGGCTTCCCGCCCCTCCGTGTGGGGCTCTCTCTCCTCTGTTCTTCACCTTTCTTGAACCCTCCCTCCTCCCTCCTCCCTCCTCCCTCTCCCTCCTCCCCCTCCTCCCTCCCTCCTCCCTCTCCTCTCCTCTCCTCCTCCTCGTCGTCGTCCTCCTCCTCCTCCTCCTCCTCCTCCTCCTCCTCCTCCTCCTCCTCCTCTCTGTGCTTCCCTCTAGCGAAACGATAGAGTCAGATCGTCGGAGACTTGGTTTCTTTCTGTTCCCCCAGATACCGCCCTACTCCATCCGGATGTCTGCCAGGGACCACCGGAGGATTGCCAGGGCGCTGCTGGAGCTGGTGTCGCTGGAGTGCGAGTGCTCGGAGCCGCCCGAGGAGCTGGCCAGCAGGGACCCGCTGGCGCTGGAGCTGAAGGAGAACAAGCTGCAGCTGGACGCCAAGATTGCGCTGCTGGGCGCCGAGGTTCGAGGCAGCGCAATAACAAGAGGACTGCCAATCTGTCGACCAGCGTGGACCCCCCCCCGGCAGTGAGTCTACAGCAGTCTGTGTTGCGCAATCTGTGTTGCGCAGGCCATGTGGAGCAGTCTGAACCGTGCCATCTCTGTTGCGCAGCATGTTGTTTGCACCAAGCTGTTTGCAATAGCTGTGCAACATCTGTTGCTTAATCTGTTGTGTTCAACATATGTTTTGCAATCCAGGTTGTGCAGTCTATGTTGAGCAGTATATGTAGTGCAATATATGTGATGCAATGCATTTTGTGCTAGCTTTGTGAAACACTATAGGTGAGGCACTCTATGTGGTGCAATATGTGTGATGTCATTTATTTGGTGCAATAGATATACATGTGCATGTACATATACACATTTATGTATCGATACACATAGATAACTGGTGCAAGCTAACTGGTGCAAGCTAAGTGGTGCAACCCATGTGGAGCAGTCTGTGTTGTGCAATGTATGGTGTGCAGTTTATATGAAACAGTATATCGGGTGGAATCATTGTGGTGTAGTGTATGCTGTGCAGCCTATGCTGTGCAATCTATGTTGTGCGATTTGGTGCACTCTACGTGGTGCAATAGATGTGGTATTATACATGTTGCGCGATATACGAAAAACGATATATTCGATGTAATCGATGTGGTGCAAAATAGGTCGTGCAATCTCTCTCTCTCCATATATATATAATATACACATAGATCTGATGTAATGCATGCTGTGCAGGCTATGTTGTGCAATTTATGTGGTGCCGCCCATGTTGTGAAATCTGCTGTGTGCAATCTATTTCTGACAGCGGCGCGGAACAATGCAACGCGAAGCAACGCAACGCGACGGCGACGGCGAAGCAACGGCGACGGGCGGCGACGAGGCGGCGACGGGGTTGCGATGGCCAGCACAGAGCCGCCAGACCGACACACAGGCCCAGCTCTTCAGTCCCGAAGTAAGGACCCCAAAGTGAAAACACTGTTTGGGGACACAGAAGGAGAGGAATCAAAATAATAGTACCCATGCAGAAAACAGAAGACGATACACTAGAATAAGACCAGACGTACTATTCAATAAAGTATTCAGAACAATCTAGTAATAAGGACAAGTTGTGGTAGAGATGTTCATCCGAGTGATATAATTAGGAGTAATCACATAATAATGCGAATCATACGGAGGAACTTACTTAGACGAAAACAATAATACGCATACTAACACATACCATTAATATTACGACTACTACTACTACTACCACTAGTACCCCTACTGCTACTAGTAGTACTAGTACTAGTACTAGTACTAGTACTAGTACTAGTACTAGTACTAGTACTAGTACTAGTACTAGTACTCGTACTACTTCTACTACTACGACTCCTCCTCCTCCTCCTCCTCCTCCTACTACTACTATTACTACACCTAGTAGTAGTACGTAGTAGTAGTAGTAGTTAGTAGTAGTAGTAGTAGTAGTAGTAGTAGTAGTAGTAGTAGTAGTAGTAGTAGTAGTAGTAGTAGTAATAGTAGTATTAGTAGTAGTAATAGTAGTACTAAGTAGTATAGTTGTAGTACTTATACTACTACTACTACTACTACTACTACTACTACTACTACTACTACTACTAACTACTACTACTACTACTACTACTACTACCACTACTACTACTACTACTACTACTACTACTACTACTACTACTACTACTACTACTACTACTACTACTACTACTACTACTACTACTACTACTACTACTACTACTACTACTACTACTACTACTACTACTACTACTACTACTATTACTACTGTTACTGCTACTACTAGTACTAGTACTAGTACTAGTGCTGGTAGTAAGAACCATGATACTAAGAACAAGTACAATAATACGAGTGCTAACACTGAGAATAAGAAACAGAAAACGACGGGGCACAAGCTTACACCTGCGGAGCTTCGCGCGGATTTCTCGGATCGGCGCTGTGCCCCCCTGTTGGCGCCTCTGGCGCTGCCGTTGGCGCGCTCTGCGCGCCAGGGAGCGGGGTCCCGCGCCGATCCAAGAAATCTACGAGGAGCTTCGAAGGTTGATCTTTGTGCCTGTCTGCGCCCAGAGGTGCAGATCATGGGAGAGGAGGGTGGCCACGAGTGGCCGGGTATCAAGGCGCACACGAGCTGCACGATGTTCGAGGTGGCGCTGGAGACGCTGCAGGGCAGGGCGCCGAAGATGAACCTGTTCGCCAAGGACCTCGAGCTGGACATCTGGGCGCACAACCACCGGCTGGGAGCCTGGGAGCCGGTGGTGCCCCAGTGCAGGTGGCAGCTGTCCTACCACAGGCGTCGAAGAGGAGCTAAAACAACATAAACATACACGTTCGGAGCTCCGCGCGGATTTCTTGGATCGGCGCTGGGGCTCCCCTGTCGGCGCCTCCAGGGCCAGCCCTGGCGCGCTCTGCCTGCGAGGGAGGGGGCTCAGCGCAGATCCAAGAAGTCCGCGCGGCCCTCTGCCAGGTTATGTTTACGCAGTTGGTTCTTCGAAGGCAGCGGGTCCTGCCGATAGCGGACGAGAACGGCCTCGGCAATGTGGGAGACATGATGGTGAAGACCGACGTCAAGGCCATGGGCCCGGTCCACGTGGTCATCACCCCGTCGTTCGTGCACCTGGCCAGGCGCGTGTTCCGCGAGAGCGCCGGCGACGTGGAGTACCGATGCCGCTGCGCCTCGGACCTCTCCCGGGGTGCGTTCTGCTTTTCGCGGCGCAGTCGGCCGTGGCGGCGAGGGCCTCCCAGGAGGCCCCTCAAGGCCAGCTCGAGGCGAAGGCTAGCTTAGCGGTAGCTTCTCCTCCCCCGGGGTTCGGGAGATCCGAGACGGGGGGCAGTGCAAACGGGGGTCGGCCAGCGCGCCGGATCTCGCACGGCCCTGCAGAGCCAGGGGCGCATTGGCCCAGGCTTGGGTGCAGGGTTTTGTGAGATTTTGTCGGATTTTGCTGGGCTTTGCAGAGTTGGATTGATTTGAGTTGATTCGGTTTGGGATATTGATTGGGTTGGGATTGGGTTGGGATTGATTGGGCTTGATCGATTGGCTTGGGTTGGGGCTGGCCTGGGTCGGTAGATCCCCGGGAGGTACGGCCACCTGCTGGCGGGCCTCAACATCTCCGGCGTGGCCTGCAGCGTGGCGGTCGAGGGGGCCGAGGACGACTGCGCGCTGCGGCTCGAGGCGGGCGTGCAGCCCCTGGACGGTCTGCTGAAGGTCAGGAGCAGCGACAGGGGGGGGGACTGGCATAAAGGGGATGCATCGACCCCCAATCGTCCACTGCCGGGGGTGGACAGACCTCCTACCCTGACACGTCGATTAAGGAATTGGCCGTTTTCGGTTTGCGAGAGGGCGTCGCGGCCGTGATTTTTGCGGGTCCAGGGCTGTCGGTTTCGGTCCCAGGCCGTTTTCACTAAGGGGAGGTTTACTAAAGGGAGGTTTGTCCTCGGCCGACATTGATCGCCGATAT